AGTTAAAAAGTTAATGTTGCTGGCCTGGCAAGGTCTCCTAGCATCGTTGCTTGTCACCCTCCCCTTTCATCCGCACATTATAAACACTAAACCTCACTAAACCAGACAACCAGGCCAGATCTGCAGCGGGGTGACACATGCACACCCCCCCCCCCCCCCACAAGAAAGTCTTGGTCAGAGGATATGCTAAAAGATGATCTCATAAAGACGTACACGAGAGCCACGGCAAACCCCGTCCAGCTGAGCATCCAGGGCAAAAACCTCCATCTGAATCTGCAGTGTTGCCATGACGAGCAACGCGTCCAGCACGATGAGGCCACCTGACATGTTGCAACGCGCTCATGCTTGCAAAAACTCCGACCGAGCTTGGCAGGTGAGACAGCACCAGTATAATGTGCCCAGCTGCTGATGAAGTTATGCACCTGCCTGAGAACACGTGACGCCACGACATGGTGAACACCGCAAATCAACCCGGCTTGCGGCTTGCAATGGCCTCCTACCCTCTCGACCAGGTTTAGATCAGGAACCGGATGCAGCAAAGTCCAATAACAAAACACCACTTACCCGCGGCCAAGTCAGTGGCCGAAGATCCAAGAAGCACGCACTAACAACCCAAACTGTGGCGAGAGATCACAAGGAACAGCAGTTGCCATGAACTTGTGCCCCCCCCCCCAAAAAAAAAAAAAAAACGCAGCGACGAACGCCAAGCGACTTCCGATGCAGGAACAGGACGATCTTTCCACGCCAGCTCAAATCGTTCCAGTTGTGATGGTGCCGGTGGCGATGGCGTTGACCCTCTGCACCCTGCAGTTCAGGTTCAGGACACGTGGCCGGCGGCTACATTAGCACACTGGATTTAGAATATGACTTTAGGGACTTGACAGCATGGTGAAACAACTTGTACTTTTACATACAAGCTCCGCGATGCAGTACACCTGACTTAAGAGCGGCGCTGTGTGGCTGGACTCCGTCCCGTGAGGCTTCGTGTCAGCCTTGAGAGGACTCGGAGACCCGATGCGGAGACCGAATGGGAAGCGTAGGGAGGCTTTCAGAGAGAAGAACGCACAGCGGATGCAGCACACCTTGCCTCGCCAGCCATTTTGAGTGCGATGAGCAGCTGCCTGAACGAGAATGCGAAGGTGATGTCACATGATGTCACGGTGCCTTGTCGGTAGCTCTCATTAGCTCTCAAGTGCTGGTCGAAGCTGCTGTTCCCTGGCGTTCGCATCCTGGAATCTGCGCTTCTGCTCATCAAACTCAGAGTCGCGTGTCATTCGTGTCCAGCGGTTCCATTTCAGCACTCGCTAACGGACATCCTACACGTCTGATACATTCTCCACTCCTTCGAGCCAGAATGAGCCAGCGCAAGAAGGTTGCTGTAGCGTGTGCTGGTGTTGCTGCTGGCCATGGCACGTGCTTATTCAACGTGGGCTTAGGACTTTTGTGGGGGAAGTTGAGGGCGGGTTGGGATTTCAGTCTTTTAGGCTCAGGGCCCGAGGGCTCGGGCACCTTATCTTACGCTATCCGTAACCTTCGTTAGGAGAGCACATGGGTGCAGCCACAGCATGAGCCTGTAGAGACCTCTGAGGTCCCCCACACGAGCGGGCTCACGACGACCTCGCCAGAGCAGCATCTTGGCAATCACTGACCGGGCAGTTGCCTACAAGACCCTGTGCAACTGCCTGCGACTGTGTCAACCGGTTGTGACCTGAGAGCGGTTCCGTTCCGTCTTGGTGCAGCAAGTCGCGGTCGCACATGAACTTCTTGCACTTCAAGAAGTCCAGTGTCGCACCAAGCCTCACCAAGATCAGAGTGCGCATCATGTTCATCCGGTGGAGCTATCCTGCTTCCACTCCTCGTCCCTGAGACAGAGGAGCTATTCAAGTCCGCACCAGAGATGCACATCGCACGTGAACTGCCCCCCGCACATTCCGTCGAGGGCGCCTGAGGCCGTCGGAGCGCTCCTTCTCGAATGGAAAGCCTCTCGAGGCGAGCCAGGATGGGCCATCAAGGCTCATCCCCATCAACCCTAAAAAGGCCCCTTTAAAGGGGTTATAGGGCATTTTAGGGTCTAATAGCCCATACTGGAAAGGGCCCATTTGAAGGGGTGAATATCGGGTATAGTGGGGTATAATAGCCCTTAAACTGGAGACTCCAGAGGCAGCATGCAAAGTGGAATGTTGTAGCAAGCCGCAGCGAGGCGGATGGCACCAACATGACTCCAGGTCAAGGCATAGCGCCGCCTGCGGCTGCTCCGTAAGGCAGAGTAGGCACGCATCAAAACACCGAGCGATTCTCTTTGCGAACGGCTCAGTCCTGCTGCTTCATTGCGTCAGATATCCCGGTACCGCAAAAGTCAGGGGGGCGCACCTGTCACAACATCGTGCAATGCAAGCTGCCGCTCTGCCGGCAATCTTGACACTAACTGGGCCCCCGCGCTGCGCACAAAGTGTCCTGACCGCGGGCAACACTCATCATCTTGGCAAACATCACCTTCAAGAGATTCAAGAGGTCTGTGGCGGGCTGGTTGAGAAAGCTGCGATGAAACTACGAAACTGCATGAATGCCGTAATGCTCGGCCTCACAAACCCATTTTGCATGAAGGAGATTGGCCACTCGTAGATTCACCTCAGGACTACGGGAACTTCCAAGGGCCTGTATACCAAAGAGCTGAGGCTTCTTGCCCAGAGGGAGCTTGTTGCATCTGAGGAGCGGAGACACAATCACCTTTCCTGACTGCCACAACAATCGATTAGTTTCGCACTGCACGAAATGTTGCAGCTTCGACACACAGGGACAACGGAGTGCCAGTGACCGGGGGGAATGTACCTTGGAATCATCCTCGCCAAACTTTCAACCGTGAGGCTTCCTGATGCCAAGACGCAACACTGAACCTGGCCGGAGGTTGTAGCACGACCTGTCCAAGGGTCCTGCGAGACGATTCTGTTCCCAGGGGTGGGAATGCAGAAAACCTTGATGACCTGTGTTGGGGATGGGGATGCTCTGATCCAGGAAGTTCCTAAGATTCACAGTCGCGTTAAAATCGATGCATTTACAATGCAGTCGAAGCATGCTTGCTGCCGAACTTCATGGGCGTGTCGCGCAAGCCCCTCGCAGCTCCCATCGTGTGAGGGTTGCCTAACGTCCGCCAGGAAGAAGTCACTGGTGCGTGCAAAGCGCATTGTGCTTGCAAATGCCTTCGGCGCAGTACCAGTCTTTCTCGCCCAAAATCTGTATAGTCAGGTTGTGGTTCCTTGGCTAAAGCTTGGAACCGCAAGTGCCTGAACTGTTTCGGTCATGGGCTTCCAGCCCCAACAGCAAAGCACCAACAAGAACTGCATCAAAGAGGCGGATCGAAGTGCCACTGTGCCTTGGCTGGGTGGTGTGACTGAACTTTACGAATCGCTAAACTCCGACTCGCCACCTGATGCTTTGAGGCCCGTTTCTTTGGTCAAAGGCGAGATTCTGGCTCGCAGCCAAGTTGTGAAAAATACATGCCCACCTCAATATCATTACCAAACCTTACGGGGCATGCAAGCAGTCCATCTTGATCCAACGTTGCAGGGCCGCACTGTGGGTTCGCTCACATCTGCGCATGCCAATACCAAGCGGCCCAGAGCATCCCTGAACAAAGGCTTGCTTTATGTCGATAGCTCCTGGCCTGGGATGTCGACATCTCTGTCAGTCGCTCCGTCAGTCGCTGGCAGGATAGACCCGAACAAGCACGCCATCGATTGTCATTGCGATCGTCATCGTCACCGCCATCCTCCTCCGCATCATCATCATCATCATCATCATCATCATCATCATCACCAGCATCATCATAGGTCATCATAGATCATCTCTGCATCCCAATATGATCATCATAGACTACTATTTGCTTTAGAACCCCAAAAGAATTTAAAAAAAAAAAACAATAATCCCTACAGTACCCTCATTAACGTTCCAACGGTGCGTAAACGCGTGCCGAAAACGCCGCGTTGTAGACGGGAACGGCAAATAACGTGGCAGGGGCAGTATTTCTGAGCTTTGAGAGTCAGGGAAGGTGAGAGTACAGAGGACAAAAAATCGAAGGAAAAATTGACTAGAATGCGCTGGGGCCTGGGTTTGGGCGACATGAGGGCGGTCGAGGTCCAGACATTTTAGAGCTTCAGCCAGTTCTTGTCTCGACGGACGTTCTCATAGTTCTCATCGTGCGGGCATGGATGCTCTGGCATGCTCTGGCCATTCGCACGCACTGGTAACACGGACGTTCTCATCGCGGGGGCATGGATGCCCTGGCCATTCGCACGCACTGGTAACACGGACGTTCTCATCGTGCGGGCATGGATGCTCTGCAGGGCGCAGAAAACACTGTAAATACCGATGTGGGCGGGGCGTCGCCGGCGCGCGTTTACGTGCCGTTGGAGCCCTTAACAAGGAAGAATACTTTTATTTTTTCGGGGTTCTTAAGCAATTAGTAGCAGATCATCATCCAGGCGCCACGCCGACAGAAATATTCATCCGAAATATACTTTGGCTTCGGGGTTTTTAGCGTCTAGTACCAGTACGCGCGATTGGCTTCTAGGACCGGATTGGTTTTTTGTTGGGGGCGGATTGGTTTTTTTGTTGGGGGCGGGCAGGAGGGGGAGATGACCCGGGTTGCTTGCTTGCCTGTTTGTCCTGCTTGTCCCGCTTGTCCTTCTTGTCCTTCTTATCCTGCTTTTTTGTTCTGCTTGTCGAGCTGACGTCCTGCTGGCTGCTGGCTTGTCCTGCTTGTCCTGCTTGTTCTTCTTGTCCTTCTTGTCCTTCCTGCTTGTCCTGCTGGCATTGGCTTGTCCTGCTTATTTGTTGCTCGTCCTGCTGGCTTGCCCGGCTACTCCTGCCTTTACTTGGTTGCGTGTCCTGCTTTGCTTGCCCTGGTTTGTCTTGCTTGTTTGTCCTGCTTGTCCTGCTTGTCGAGTCTGTCCTGTTTGTCCTGCTTGTCTTGTTTGTTTGTCCTGCTTCTCCTACTTTGAATGTTGCTTTTCCGCTTGGCATGGCAATCCGGAACCATGCGGGACAAAGGGGACAAATCTGCAACGTGTGGGAAGACGCGGGAGAACGCGGGTGAATGCAGAAGAATGCGCAAAAATGCGGAAGCCACGCCCCTTTAGCACACGTGTCCGCGACAGTCTCGCTATGGCATGCCACGTGTATTTGTCGCGGTTGTCCTGCTGTCCCGATTGTCCTGCTTGTCCGGAGTCCTGTCCTGCTCGCATCTCCTCCTTGTCCCGTTGAAGTTGTCCTGCTTGTTTGTCCTGCTTGCATGTCCTGCTTCTTGCCCTGGTTCAACCCTTTTAAGCACGGACTGAGGCTGCCGGCAACACCTGAAAGCAGGGCCTTCTTGCCTTTAGCAAGGGTCGCATGAACAGGCGAAACTGAGGGTGTCTATCACTGGGACGTATACACTATGGGAGTACTGAGTTTGCGTAAAAGTGAAGTCTGTGAATCATGGAGAATCTCCAGGAGTACTGCCACCTCTTGCCGCTGCCACATAATCTGCTGCAGCGCCGACACATGCACAAATACATCTTGTAACAATTCCGACAGACACAGCTGCAGGACCCATGCCACACCAAGCATTCTGAGATGGGATAAGGCTTCGCACCACTGCTCCATTGTGGGTTGTATCGAGTGAATCGTGACGTATTGCCACCCTTCTTCTCTGTGCAAAACATGTAAACCCCACCCCCAAGAAGAGAGATCCAAGAAAACCGGCTGCAACCAATCCAAACTCAGAGCGAACAGCTGACGCACGGAGGGAAAGCTGCCCTGGTGCACGTGCGCATAGGTGCCCTGGTACAAGGCCACAACCCGATCGGTTCTGGCAGCCCATTGTTCCTTGTCCTGCGCCCATGTCATGAGCTGAGCTATTTTGGGCTTTTGGACAGTGTCATAAACCCTCGATGTGACCTTGAAAAGCCAATTGACGGAGCTACTCCACGGCGCCCCAATCAGCTGCTGTTGCTGACAGGACAAAAGAGCGCTGGTTGCCACATTTGTGCACCCACGCCTGAGCAGGTGGCCCAGATATGTCCACTTGCGCCTAACCCACGAATCAACCCAGCGCCATTTGGGATCTCTAAGTACTGTGACCCGAATCGCCCGACGCCTGACCCGCAACAAAGAATACGCCATATCCTTGGACAAATAGGAGGGCAAATAAAGGTGTAAGCATTGTATGGTGTACATTGTCTGCCAAACATCAATCTTGTCAACATGCTTGCGCAGCGGGAAGATTAGCGGAGCAAACCATAACCATACCGCAGCGATGTATTGTCTCAACATGTGAAGCGCGTGCCGAACTGCCATCCATGAGCAACGTTTCAAGAATGGGTGCATCTCATCTCTGGCCACATGCATGCATCTCTGAGCCTGAGCGACAAGGGAGTGGGGATGATCCTCATGCGAAAGTTTCTTACGCAAGTATGTCACCGACGTTCCCCACTGCAACTCTCTCAAAGGAGAGTCTTCCAGTAGGGTCTCGTGCCCTACCTGCAGGAAGCTTGCCGAAGCCATGAGATGCGTCTTGTCCATATTGACTGTGAGCCCCAAACCATCTAGGACGGTCCGCAGCTCCGAAAACATTGCATCACTGGAGGCCCATTCCGGGATATTGATCAAGATGTCATCTATATAGAGAATGCCATATGAGTGATGCAGGGAGGGCGGTCGCTGCAAAGCCCATCTATCAAACAGCTGTTGCATTTTCCTGGCTAGGGCGCAGCTGAAGACCCAGGAGCTGTGCGTACCTCCCTGTAAGACTCCACGCGTCTGCTGGAGGCTCCACGCATCTCCCAAAAACTGAAAGTCAAGGCTGGATTCACTGAGGCATTGAAACATGCGCAGGGCCTCCAACCCTTTTTGTGGGCTAACCTCGTCTGCAAGAAAGGAGGCTATCTCTGATGTCTTCAAAGAGTCAAAAGCACTTGAGACGTCCAGGCTAATCCATATTGAAGAGCAACCCCACTTGGATTCCCGGTCAACCATGTTGAAGGCCGCTGTTAGGGCATCGAGCGTCTGGTGGCCAGGACGCCCAGCAAACTGGCATGGATACTCTGGCACAACCGGTTGTACCCTGCGAGTGAGCAGTGACATGAATAGCTTACTCAATGTTTCCAGCATGTTTATAGGACGAACATCTTTGGGTCGTGCCACCTGGGGCAACTTCGGCACAAGCGCCACGAAGGCTCGGAAATAGTCGGCTGGGATGCAGCCGTCGCGGAGCAGTGTGTTCATGTGACTACGCAGCATATCAAGCCCTTCCGGGATTTGCGCTAACGACTGAACCAGCTCTGCAGAAAAGCCACTCTGTCCAGAAGTCTTCCCTTTCTTCATACGGCCAATGGCTAACATGATTTCCTCTGTGGTAAATGGCTGGTATTCAGCGGAAGCGGCCAGTCGTTCGAGCCGATCTCCCCCAGATTGAGCCATCTGTCGCTCTTCAACAGGGGCCTCAAAAAGGTCACGCAAGCGGGCTTGTACTGCCTGAACGGCTTGAGTTTTACCCCCTTGACTTTGTATCAAAGAGTTGTATGACGCTGTTGGTTTGGATCTGCCCTTCAGGTAACCCAGAGCCCCGTAGTCACCTGACGAAGCCCGTTGCTGGAGATCTGCTAGCCATACTGTGCGGGCCTGACGTCGCCTGCCAAGTATTCTGCGGGCAAGCTCTGCGCGGTCCACGGGATCTGTGAGCAAGTGGCGTTGCCTACATAGGTCCTTCAGGTCTGGAGGGTCCACATATTTATGGGACGGCCGGGGTATAGAACACGCAGTAGCTATATCCTTGAGCACTTCCCACTGCGCTTGGGCCGATTGTTCCCCAAACCAGTTAGGGTCCAGGTTGCAACTGTCAAAGGCCTGCTTGGACACCACCCACTTGCGACACTTGTTACGTTTGCGTGGCTTCCGCTGTCGGGCCTGGCTATGTCTGACAATATACAAGTGCATGCCCACAAGATCATGATCGGTGCCCAGGGCAGGTGCTGCCTCAGGCTGATGATGAATTTCGGGATCCGCACGTAACCTCCTGTCCTGGAGGGTCTTGTCATTGACGAAGAAATAGTCAAGCATGCTGGTTGAGAGTCTCCCATGCCAGGTAGACTGCCCCGGATGAAAAATTCTGTATCCCAGAGAGTTAGTCATGGTATCTAGTGTCATGTATCGTGCATCTCCCAAGTCTGCATTCCAGTCCCCTGCAAGCACGCAAGGTTGCCCACGGGAGCTTTGGAGAAACTGCTGAAGCTCTGCAACTGTCTGATCAAAATACTGTTCTGAATTGTCCTTGTGGGGCATGTGCACACCCACAACCATCCTTTCTTGCTGCTGAACGTCAACAAAAACCACCGCAACCCATCTCATGCCCATATGTGTGGAAACAACACGGTCTACCACACCTCAAGCACGATCACCTGGCCAAGGTAGCTTTCAGTGTCGCCAGAACCGAGGATGATGCTGTCATGCAAGTCTGACTCACCCGGAACATAGTATTGGCGAAGTTCCCCAACAACCTGAGAAGAAACAAGATCACCAAGCCCTCCTACCTCTTGTAAGCACATCACATCGCAACCATAACCCACCGTCGTCATCCAGTCGCTGAGCTGGTCTAGGTTCTTGCCATGAAGGTTCCATGTACTGAATTCAAGCAGAAAGACAGAAGCTCTAGCTGAACTGTCCTGACTTCAGATTGCTTTGTTGAGTATCGGCTCTATCTGACTTGCAGGCATACTCACTGCGCTCTCAAGGACGCTCATGTTGACTAGGAACTTGGTGACCTCTCCAAAGTCGCTCCGATATTCCACAGACCCGCACTTCTCACCTTCCTGAAGGTACAGGGCTGGCAAACTGGGCGCCAAGGCACGCCGATCCATCAGCCAGATGACTTGCCTTCCCCAATCAACGTCCTCAACCGTGATGTTCACGGGCGCCTCTGCCTTCAAGTTGCACACCTCTTGTAGACGACTCCACGCGTGTCGAGTGGCTTTGTTTTTGAGTCGGCTGGCCAATGGCCTGGCCGGGCTAAGCCATTTCGGCTCAGGACCATTCGGTATGGCTGCGTTGGAGTACTTCTCTTGAAGGGAGTAGAACCTCGACTTGGCTTCCCACATGGGAAGTTGGGGGCTAAGGAAAAGCTGACACGTATTGGCCCGTTTCCCATACACCACAAGCCTGTCAATCTGTACTTCACTCATATGGCGGGCCAGTGTCCATCCTTCTTCCTGGATCACGCGTTTTGGCGTGTCTCGACGCCAGCCTCCAATCACTATTCTGTTGAAGTTTACTTCATCTGCGGTGTCATGAGCGGGTGCTGGAGAGACTCGAGCGTACGGCGGCCTTGGCATCTGCTGTCCAAGGCCCGGAGGGGCTTGAGGCACTGAGTGGGGGATCCCACTGGAAGTGCCTCTGTTCTGCATGGCCTTGAGCTCAGTCTTCATGGTGTCCAACTGGGTCTGAATCGCGTCATCTCGCTTGAGTGCTTGCTCTTCCTGCTTCTTCTCAAACGCCTCCATTCTTTCGATGTTTCGCCTTTCTACATCAGCAATCTGTTCCTGCATCCGCCCGACTGTGGTGGTGACCCTGGCCACCTGTTCGCTGATTGAAGAATTCAGTGCGAGGGCCCAAGCTGGAGCATCGTTGAGCGCTCTCTGTGCTGCAACCATTCTGTCAAGCGCAGCATCCGGCCCTTCCAACTCCTGTTCCCTCTGAGAAAGACTGCTCAATGGGGACTCGACACAGGCTGCTAATGGTGCATCATGGTCCATGCTGTATCTGGCCCGCTTGCTAGGAGAGTGATCACCGATTCCCGGCCCGTGTTGCTCTTCAAGATCCTCGACATCATCAGGAACCTCGTGGACAATAGCTGCAACTAGTGCAGCCTGTGCAGCCTTTGCCCCAGTAGAGGAGTCTCCCATTGCACTTCAACCCCTGAACTTCAACCAGACCTGAGCCGAAACCCTTGAGCCAAAATGGCTACGGTTCAACCCTAAACCCTAAACCCTCACTTTCTCGGTTTTCAGGCCCCTCAACAACCAGCGGTTTATTCTGCGTTTTCCCGTGTTTTCAAGCATACTCCTCTCTACAGCCTACCCCCGTTTTCCCCTAGCCCACAAAACCTTAGCTGAATCATCATGCCCATCATCATCACCATCTCATCATGCCCGTCATCCTCACCCGAGTCATGCTCGTCATCCTCGTCCAACCGTGCATTTTACTGCTGGCCATTGTTACTTCCAGTTGCGCCAAGAATCGTGAAGCAAAACGGGAGGATCACGCTCCTGCACATCACTCAAGAAGCCGACATCTTGCCGCAGCAAGGCAAATAAACGCCTCCGCTGCTCCAGGTCTGCTTGAAGCCCTTCCAGCTCTGCTTCGGTGAAATGGACGTTGTCCTCCTCGATACGTCAAGGTCGACGCAAGCTCAGCTCTGTGGCCCCTTTGGGCTTTTGACCAATCTAAGGACGACCTATGTCCTTGCAAGAAAAGAAGCCGCAAGCTCTACACAGTGCAGGGGCCGTCCTTCCTGCACTCGGCAACCTAGGCTCGCTCCGCAGATCTGAGCGCGGGAGGCCCAGAAGACGCATTCATCGCCGGGTGTCTGTACGATTCCGACTATTGTCATCGTGGCTTTCTCAAAGTTTAGCCCTGTAAGCTCTATCAGACTCGATCAGTGCAGGGATTTTTCAAGATGAGCGGCGCACTCGGACAGGTTGCCATCATGGAATCCCACACTAAGAATGGTGAGGAGGTCCTGCATCGGCGAACTTGTCACTCAGCTGAAAGCCATTATCTACATCTTACTGTCGAGCGGGCGCCTCGCACAGGGACGTGGAATACACTTTCCTTGCACGCCACACTGAGCAATGAGCGAAGTCATGGGATGGCACAACCGTGCCCAAAAGCTCGTCTAAACCCCCTGCGAAACCCAACAACCTAAACAGATGAGCCCCCAAATCCACCAGCCGAGTGTCTGCCCCCAGTACTCCTCCAAAAATCTGCTGGTGGAAAGTGGCGGAATCAAATCAGAAAATTCCAGCCTTGGTAGGTATTGCAGGTGCACAGCTCCGGGCTACGCTTGGGCAAATCGTCGTAGCCTGGGGATATGAAACTCCCTAACTCTGTTGCAGTCCAGCCGCACAAAGCCTTCCTCACCGGTGCTGCCCGAATGCGCAGGTGCCATGGCCAGAGCGCTCAGGAGGGCACATCCATTTCTTCCAGGTTTAAAAAGCACAGATACGGTGAGGCGCAGGACGTGCTGAGTTGCACACGCATGCCGCTTGCAGAAGGAAGTCCAGAGTCTACAGGCAATGGCTGCGGGAGCCAGAGGTCATCACGGCGAGAGCACATGACGCCCACAGCGACTGGAGATGCTCTCAACTGCGGCATGCTCCTTGGCGGGCTCTTCAACACGACTGAAGAGTGCCTGGCGAGCATCAATCACTACAGTTGCCCACGCACGCCATCCGCAAGTCGATTCCGTACGTCAGGGTTTAGGGTTTAGGGTTTAGGGTTTAGGGTTTAGGGTTTAGGGTTTAGGGTTTAGGGTTTAGGGTTTAGGGCTTAGGGTTTAGGGTTTAGGGTTTAGGGTACCCGTTGCCCTTTGTTTGGTTCCAGGTTCCCTTATGCAGGAGCCAGCCCAAAAGAGGGACACGGCCGTTAAGTCGGACATGCCTGCAGCAAAGCCACCGACTCCGAAGAGCTCGGATCCTGGGCTGGCAGGAAGACAAGGAAGCCCTGCTTTTGAAAATGCCCTACACCCTATACCCTAAACCCTAAACCCTAAACCCTAACCCTAAACCCTTTTTGCATCTGAACCCTAAACCCTAAACCCATGGTGGCCAACCAGCTCAGTCGGATGCTTCCAATGCGCGCAACACACGCTGCACCTGCGGTGGCAGCAAGTGAAGATGCCAAAGCTCAGAAAAACATCTCGCTGGGTCGCCTGTGGGTCGAAAGCGCCTGAAGGTAGCAACCCGGAGCGGTTCAGCCTCATTCCAGTCGAGGAATTCTATGGGCGTGCAATCGCGCACCCTGTATACACGCACAAATGCTAGAATGAATGCAGAGACCGCGTGCGAATGCCCGGAGCATCCATGTCCGCAGGATGTCAACGTCCATGTTACCAGTGCATGGGATGCCCAGAGCATCCATGCCCGCACGATGAGAATGCCCATGTTTTCTTCCGGTCGCACTCTGCGATTTGGGGTTGAGTAAACCCTTGTTTGCAACAGGCCTCGTGATGCCTAAAGCCATATCCCCATCCCGGGACTCAGAAACGTAAAGCCCTATCCAAATCGACTTCTACTGCAAAGACGGAACCCTCAGATACCTAAAGCCCCTGTTTCAAGTTCTCATGTCATAGTACACGCGCAGGGACCGAACCTTCACAAACCTAAAGGCGTATCCCCAAAGTCCGCGTGCAGGTCCCTGCCGCTGCTGAAACCCGAGCGCCTGCCAAAATGCACATGCTACGACTGCAGGCCCATGTAAATCAAATAACAGGGTGCGTGTCCAGTACCGTGGCCCTGAAACCAATAAGCCCTGAAACGCCTTTGTTGGATTGTTAACAAACTTGTTGAGTTTTGCAGGTTTTCGCACGCTCGCCTTGACGACACAGAATACTTAAAATCCGCCATGGCTCGACATGCTACACATGCCCATGCAGGCCGACGAATTCGTGCATTTTCGTATGGGCGTTCTCTGCGAAATATGACTCTTCACCCCCGCCTGCCACGTTTTTCGAAAAATGTCTTTTTCCCGTGCGAAATGCAACATCGACTTTTTTCTTCACGGCGACGTGAAGCACACATTCCTCTAGTCTTGATCAACACTTATTTGCTCTTGAAGAAAAGGTTTGATAAAGCCCTTATCCCCCCAAAAGAGTACCCCGACTTTGGAAACCCCATATGCCATCCTGTCAAATTAGAATCACCCTATACCTTGCTTTGCCATGAACATCACCAGTTAGGCCCAGGCAGGTGGTCTGCGGTGAACCGGGCCTCCGAGGCCACCCCGCAGGGATTGGGTTGCTGCTTATAACAATATGTGTGTATATATACATATATAAAGTACTTGCTTATTTCTTTATACTTACCTATTCTTTGCACATGCTATGATGTGCTATATGGTAGGGTAGTCTCATAGGCATGTCAACATGCATGGCCGCCAAATATAATCCCTTAAAAATTGTTCCGAAAGGCACTAAGCGCAGAGCCCGAGCGCCGCCATGTTAGCCCATTTGACCAATCCATTGCCCATTCATGCTGACACTGGGGGTTACGAGAATAGAGGAACCCCCAATATAAACCCCCAAATCTCACATCCCCTTATAAGAAGGACCCCAAGAAGGTGTCCCCAATATCGTAACCCCCATGTCTGGCCTCAGGGTCTTCCTGCAACAGGGAGGCTAAGATCTTTGCCGCCTCCGGCGGTGCCTGTCGAAATAGGTCTGCACCAACAAACTGATGCTCTGAGGTCTTGCGTCCGGCAACCCTCGAATGGCGGACCTCAGGGAGCTTTTCTTGCACCTTCTGAAGGAACTCCTTCGGCATATTCGCCAAGTCCTTGATGGGCTCCGATGAGAGAGCCGTTGGCAGGGCCAACTTGCCAAGCCTCGGAACAGAGCATTTTGCGTGTATGGAGCCTACGTACACCTGGAATGGCGAGGCCAGCGCACGTCCACGCGTTCCATAGCCTTGCTGACCAGATGTGGACCAAGCCCTCGCGAACTCCTGCTGCCGAGGCGCAGTGTTGAAAGGAGGGCGCCACATCTCGAAGAACACCACACCCATGGAGAACCTGGAAGCGCGCAGGCACGATACGGGCCAAGAATGATGACCATGGCCAAGTCTGCTGCAACGCATCGAGATTGCTTCGGACATGCTGAAACACTGCCATAAGAAGCATCTGACGAGGCAAGGCATCGCACCAAACGCACCAATTTTCTCTGCTGCAACTGCGTTGCAGTTTTTAAGAGCAGGCTGCAAGGCCATTTCGCTCACCCCATGCGCTAGCTCTCTGAATAGTCGTGCCACACGATGATGGGTTGACTTCTACAGGGTGCTCATTCCCTGATGACATGCCCGAGGGTCCTAGTGACATGGTGCCGAAACGTGCAAAATTCATGCGGCAAGTGGTCATTGATGAACGATGCTGAATATGTTGCAACTTAACTTTGAAGCCCGACTCACCGTCAGCTTCGTCCCTTCTTGGTCTTTTGCAGCTCTTGCCTTTCTTTGACAGCACAAGTGCAGAGCAACGGCCACCGGGATCTTTCTTCATGCAACGACGCAGCAAGAAAAAGCCTCTGCATCTTTATAGGCACGTGTACTGCCCTTTGAAGCCGTTCAAGTGATAATGCCGCGAAGCAGCGCCATCATTCTGCAAGCCTTCAGGGAGAATACACAAACCGTGTTTGGGCAGCTGCTCACACCTGACCGCATCGCGCCCGGCCTTGGGACCCTCCTTGGCAGCGTCATTGAACTTGCGGCAGTCCTGCTAGTTTAAATTAAACGAATTTGAGTGTTTTTAAACAACAACTTTCAACATTTGAACAATATTTGTGGCAAATCTTTACTAAAGACCACTGGAACATATGCAGTCATTAAATTAACGCCTGTATCTAATGCAAATGGAAATGATATAACCATATCATGCAATACGATATTTGTGTGATATGTTAATTTATTTCAACGTTTCTGATCATATTTACTATTCCATGATTAGGTATGGTTTCAAGATCAACAATTTTATAGTGTGGTCGTTTATAGAACATACCCTTTTGTGGACTATAATGCTTGATATCAATATCTTTGTGTTTTGATAATAACATACCTTTGGTAGTTTTAGTGTTTACATTATTGTTTTTTGCCACATTCGACCCCTTAAAGTCCCTAAAGCCTTACTTATGGGCTCTCCTCCTCCGCCTCATCCCGCGACTGCCGAGAGGGCCCCCGGCAGGCGATGGTGCGCACGTTTCCAGAGTGGTTGATGGCCTGGGTGCGGGCACATCTCGGGCTGCGAAGTTCGATCCCACCTCCCAGCCGTTCTCAACCTATTCCCAAACCTCAATTCCTCCTTGGGTTTTTTGAGAACCTTCGGCTTGCCAAGTGCCTGCGCTACGTCAAGACGACAAGCGGTTCGACGGGCGAAGCGTCGGGGGTCAGTCCGGGACAGCCAGAAGTTCAATGCGGCTTAGGGTTTTCGATTTAGGGTTTTCTTCGCTCCTGCATAGCCTGTCCGAATCGCAAGGCAGGGTTTCGACTCTCGCGCTAGCACACTCGCAGGCAAGGCTCGGTAGGTCTGTTCAAGGTTTAGGGTTTAGGGAAGTTCCATGAACTTCCTTTGCATGTGCCGCGTGCTGAGTCCGATTGCAATGCGCACAGTGGGAGGTTTGACCTTCGGTAGCCCAATCATCTACAACGATTGCTTTCTTGGAGGCCTTGCCTATGCCGCCTATGCCGCCTATGAGCCCTCTGCCCTGCAGGTATGCTAGGATCAGCACATCTGCGCCCTCTCGCGCAACCAAAATCTCTGCCTGATATGTCTTCTCACCTTGGCTCGCGCACAACCACAGCACCGCCTCGAATTTGGCTGTTGCGTGGCCTGTCCTATTGAGAACCAAGTAGCCAGTATTCAGCGGCGCACCATCCACTATCCGAGCCTTGCCCAGCTCAGGAGGATCCTGAAAGCTGCACGGGGCCATATATACTCTCATGCCATACTTATCATACCTGGGCATCTCGAGCGGATGCAGGAACGCAACCCACAGCCACAGCCAGTCAATTCTCAGCAAGAGACTGCCGGCGCGGGCTTTGGATTGGCTCGCTTTGGAGGCGACCTGGAAGTTGCGTGAGTTGGGGGCAACCTAATTGCTGCTTAAGCTCCGGCCAGTACTGTACGTTGCAAACAAATGCAAAAAATCGACTTCGTGTGTTTCTGCTTCCCCTTGAGTGTGCCTGGGGGGCGAGGTCCTTCTTTCTCGCCTCCTGCGGCACTCACGGACAGGTCAGGCCGCCATGCTTACCCCCACGAGCTGAGCAAAGCCATGGGGAATAAAACTCGATTTCTAGCAAGGCTTCGGCAGTTTGACAGCTACCAGGCAACCCAATTACAGTAGCGTCGATGATCTTTGATGCTTCTCAACTTCTCCAGTTCAAGCAGGTGGCGAAGAATTCAAACCCTGCCCTGCTTTCTGTCGACTCCTGGGGCTAGGCCTCGAGGATGACCGCCGACCGCGGGAGCGCGAAGAAGAGACACGCCTCTTGAAGTCTTGAAGGTGAACCATCCAGATTCAAACTGGTCCAACTGTACTGAGATGTACTGAGTCTCTGATTCTGTCAAATCCTACTTATGGTAGAATCGCTTTTTGTGCAGAATGTGATACTCATCATACTCACTGCACTGCGGACCTCCGTCCCGATCTCGACCGCCTGCGAGACCTGGGAGACCTCGAGGAGCTCCGAGGCATGTGCCGAGGAGCCTTAAGAAGCCAATGAGCAACCAGAGTATGGTTTAGGGTTTAGGGTTTCGGGTTTAGGGTTTGGAGAATGTCGCTGTGTGTGGACCACTCGCTTCAGGTTTTTGTCAATGGTTGCCGTGAGCCGGCAGATGATTAGGATCAGCCAAGCCACCTGGTTTCCCCTCAGATGGGCTCTAGCAAACACGCTTGAGCCCAAGTGCCAAGGCCGTGAACATGTCGCGGCGTTGCATCAAGGTGGGGAAAAAGCCAGAGCCAGCAGCAAGAATGCTGGTGATTGGGTGTTTTTGTGTGAGTGCTTGCAAGGTCCCGCTGGATCCCGTCAGTGCACATCAGAGTGCCCGGCATGTCCACTCTGTTGTCGTAGAGCGGAGGGCCTGGGTGCGTCTCTGAGTCATGGCCATGGCCAAAGAATGTCGTCAACCAGACTGATATACATATTTCTGTGTATCTATATATATATACACATATTATACATATATTATATCATGTATATATTCATATATGCCACGTGCCTCTTTTACATGCTGCTGCTTGCCGGAATGCAGGTTTTGTCGCAAGCTGGCGCTGGCTAGCTCGCGGAAAATCTGGCAGCTGTAGAGAATCTCGAGACGTTTGCGATGCCGAGCTAATTCACGGACCCGTTTCACAGGAAAACACGTGCGTCCTGAGCAACTACGCCAACAGCTAGCGGACTGCAGCTTCTGGTGTTTCTTCCCGAATGCTCTCCAGGACCTTCTCCACCCATGCATCGACAAAGTGCTCGCACAGGTAAGAGCCTCAGCAGCTTGAGCTGGTTGCGGCAACGTTTGGCAAGCTACTTCTTTGGCCTTTTTTCTACCAGGTCAGGAAAGGAGCGGTTCGTGGGCCGCGTGGTTCCTGCCACGTTGATGCTGTGTAGGCAGCCCTTCAGGGTCAGCTGCTCTGCACCCTGTAGGTGAGCCCAGTCCACCGGCACCAAGCCATCGCCGGTTGCATTGCCGAGCCCGCCCAAGGCCACATAGCTATTCCACGCGGTCGACTCTGGAGAGGGCGACCTTGATCCACACTTTTTGCCTTTAAAAAGGAAGGCTTCAACAGCTGAAGGGAAGCCACATGAAACCCACCTGACCTTCAACGGATTCTGCGGGACAGGACCACACTTCATCAAAAGCCGTCCATGGGGCTGGATGAGCTCCACGATTGGGATGTTGCCTTCCAGCTTCTGACCAGTGACCGCATCCCCCGCCACAGATACCTTCCATTCGTTACGCTGACAACCGTCGGACATGCAGAGACGCGTGCCACAATAGAAGGGGTCAGAAGGGTATCTTTCAGTGAAGGCACGTAGAAAAGGTGGTCCGAGAAGTACGCTCCAGGGTGGGCTTTGTTGAGATTGCGCAAGCAGCCAAACCTGGGCACGGCGCCATGCTTAGCCTTGCACTTTGATGTCGTATGACATGGATAATCATGGATGGTAGGCATCGTGCCCTGCCCAAGGACTCACTTAAACGCAGTCCAGGACCAAGGCACGTCATGTCCATCTTCCCTTTCGGGGGTGGCCGATGCGGAGTGCCCAGGGACACTAGGCCCTGCACGTGATTCAGCGCCCAATCCTTATGCGATCTCACGTGCGTAACGTTGCGTAACGAAGCCCTAGACGAGTCCGTAAGTGTAGCCAATTCTAGCAATGCACTACCTTCTTGGGGTCCTTATGATAAGGGAATCCTACTATTCGGGGGCTATATTCGGGGCCCCTTGTTTATCCTTATTTTCGTAAATCCCCATGTAGCAGTGAGGCTTGATTTTCTCCCAGTCACCTTGCCCTCTCGCTGAAGCAGAGCACGTGCCAGCCAGCCTCCAGCGCTGTGGCCCACTAGGACAACGGGCTTGCCGCCAGAACGCACGGTCTCCTCTACCTCTGCCTTTGCCTATACTGAACTTGGAACCCCAGCAAAAATTATAGTTTTTGCTGTGTCTTAGGAAGTATGGTACACAAAAATTAAAAATTATTTCCACGTACCCCTAAGTTGCCAGGTCCAGATACCAGCCATATGCTGTCTGAGCGGTCCCATTTCCTTCTCAGGACCACATTTGCCACAGCGAGCCAAGAAAACAGGGGGAAACTATATACCTCTACAGAGCCTCTACACATACAATATGCAGTGTCAATTACAACCACATACGGACTCGCCCGCCCCATCCTGCGCGGCTGTCAGCGTCAAGGAGTAAGCCGGCAAAGACTTTCAACCAGTCGGAGCGCTTGACTGGAACGACCGACGCCTGAACTCCACGCCGAAGGAGGCAGGCCTGTCCCAACAGGTGGAGGCTTGCTTGTCTATTGTCCCGAATGGACTTACATTGGCTTTCTCTCGAGTTACTTTTCTGGCTTTTTTGCGGGGATTTTGCAAGCTCTAACTTGCAAGCTGTAACGAATGGAGTCATGCGGGGCGACAGCACGATCGAAACAACATTTTATCGCAAGGCGGGCCGATCAGCAACCAATCGAAAACCTAAAACAATCTCGCTGACAAACCCGACACAAAGCGGTATAACGCGCCTGCAACCCGACCGCACTGTCCTGGCCCAGCGGCTCCTTACAATGACATTTGAAGCAGCTCATGTTGCTTGCTGCTTTTCAGCCAATACCTGCAAGCACCGACCTTCCCATACAAAACTAGTCTATTGTTGAGCCCAGATGAGACCAACCAATGGTGCATCAAGCAAAGGGTACGTGCAGGAGGTCAAGCAGCTGCAGCCAAGGCTCGGCATAGTCGATTGCATCGTTGCCGAAACCTGGGAGAAGAACTGCGGACACAGGCGTTCGAGCCACTCGCTTTGGCTGTGGGGGAGCGGCACCCAGGAACTGACCTGGCCAGTGCTCCACTTCGTCGCTCTTTGTGGGCCGCAGAAGTTGCCCCAGTGCCTCGCTGGCCGGGATATCCCACTGCTCAAAGTAGGACTTTATGCGGCCATCCTCGCCTGGAGTGTATCGAGTCTTGCCGCCTACATTGATTCGAGGTGACCATGGCAAGCTCACACTCCCGATCATGCTCCATTTGGCTACGACTTCGCCCGATTCCTCAAGCTGAATGTCACGCAGCACGCACCTTCGCTGCTCTTCTGGAACCAGAGCATCTACTATCGGCTTCAGGTTCCGCATGTTGGACTCAAACTTGGACAAGCCTTGAAACGAGATCGTCGGGTCCGTGAATCGACATGCTTCGCTATAGAGTTCTGTGTCGATGTCCCCTGACCAGAGGTACTGGCGTTCTTCGAAGTCTGCTCGGATACCCTCCAGCAGTTGTTCAGGAGTTATGGCATCGAACTCGCGCTTTCTGATCTCAGCCACGGCGTCGCCGCCGAAGCCATTCACAACGTCGGTCAAGCCTGAAACAAGCAAACAGAGGGTTTGAGCAAAAGAGACCAGAGACTAGGCAGAAACCCCCTGAACCTCCCACGATGGACTTCGTCCAGTCCGGAGAGGAGTCGTACGATGATCTTTCCGGCTCCCTCGGCTCTGCATGCCTGGCCGCGCCACCTGCTTGACATATTGCTTGATGCTCACTCACGCTGGCTGACAAGCCCAAGTTCTTGCTTCAACTTCGCCCCGCTCCCAAGCACCAACAATCAGCCCGATGCCTCTGACATGTGAAGGCCGGAGTGCAGCACGAGGGGAGCGGACCAACCAGCAGAGGCTTCGGCAGAGCCCCCACGTGGCCAGGAAAAGCGCTGCCGGAATGCACCAGCCCCGAGTCCGTGCCATCACCAAGCTGAAGCCGAGCTTCGGGTCACAACTTTTGGCAGTGCAGTTGCTCTCATTGGCTCTCCCCACATTTTTGGGTTGGGGGGGGCACTTTTTTGTGGTTGGTGACATTTTTGGCTGCTCAGATGCAGTTGCTAGATGCTTGATGGTGCGAGTCTGTGACATTGCTTGGCGCATGCCCTTCGATGCAGCGGCTGAAGGAACACAGTGACAGGCGATCATTCACATGAATGCACAAGGCAAGCAAAAACAGTTCAGAGGCTATTTGAGCTGGTGGCTCGAGCCGCGAAACAGGTTTTGGCCGCCGTGACCCCCTCGAACTTCCGGAGCCATGTACAACGCCTCTGTTCACCAAGCAAACTTCCACGCCTTGTTACGGAGGCTCCCTGGGATTTCAGTCGGATTTCTGCGGGACTTCTGGCAGACCATCTTTCAAACCATCTGCAAGGCTAGCCCATCTCTGGGTCACGCGCGGTGCCAACCTCAGAAAGGCACGAATTCAAAAGCGCAACCGACAAGCCGAAGCAGATGGCAGCTCTTCTTCACCATAATTTCACCATGACATGTTGTGTTGCAAGATTTTGCATTCTTTCTTCCGCTACCACCGCCATTCACAAACTACGTGGCTTTAAATGAGCACCGATTCCCAAACACCAGCAAACCACTCGTTTGAGAGCTCGGCCATTGTCGACTGCTGCCGAGTTGCACCTCCACGCTTGAGCATGAAACATGCGGCTCCCTGAGTTTGTTTAGGGGTTATAGGGCTTTTCTAGGGAGGGTTTGTTTTTTGGTATATAAGGTTGAGCACGAAACATGCGGCTCCCTGATTCTTTTTGGGGGTTATAAGGCTTTCATACGGTTTACAGGGTTTATAGGGTTTATGGCTAGGGTTTAGAGAGATGCTGTAAGGGGTTATCGGGCTATCGGGTTTACAGGGGTATTAGGGTTTACAGGCCGGTATTGGAATTATCCATTCTCGCCAGGTCCCTGCATGAGCCGTTCCCATCGCTTTCACCGAATGTCCCAACCCACCTCCTCATGCGCCCAGATGCGCCCAAAAGAAAGTGATGTAACTTACGACATTGTCCGCGCGAAGGTTGCAAAGGTTGTAGACTGCAGAATTGATGGGTGCTATTTACTGCACCTCTGAGTCTTGGACTTGGACGGCCTCGCTGCGTTCCTACTGGCAGCTGTTCACAAGCCGCAGATGTCGCAGACTTTGTCTTGCAAATTGCACCGGCGCTTTTGCTTAGTCTTGGGCTGATGCAAGATATGCAAGCGTGCTCGGTCGTTCGTTCACCTTTCTTTCAGTGTCTTTCACGGGGCTCTGCTGGTAGGGCCGGCGAACTCGGCCATAGTGGTCGATGGGCTGCGCGGGGCGGCGGTGTTCTGGGATGGGCCGGTCAGGCCTCATCCGCTTGCCTGACTGTGGGCGGTGGGCAATGTCTCGTCAAGGCAGAGGGTCGCTGAGTGAGACATCAGGCAGTGGAGCGCTAGCGTGAGCTCGAAATGTTTGGGGGGGGGGGGGGGGCTCAGGGCCCCGGTCCCCATGCCCCACGAAATTAAGAATGAAGCCATTGGAAGGCGTTTTGACTTGTGCAGCAGCGTCGCAGATCAAGCCGCGATAAGTGGGACAAGCCACCGGAGCGCCGAGTAGAGGTTGTGTTGTTTGCGGATATTCTTTAATTCTGTAGAGAGGGGTTTGGGCTTAAACTAGTGCGCTGAGAGAGGCACCTCTACAAACTAGGCCCACGACGTTGGAGTGGAGACAAGCACTTGTTTGTAAGATGCTTCCATGCTTCCTAGCGTCAGCTTGCCGGACTACGGGGGCCCGATGATATGGGAGAGCAGCTCGCTGACCACAACGAATTCGCAGAGGGCAAACCCCCCCAACAGACCACCCAGCCGACGATGAGGGTCGATGTGGGGGATAGTCCTGGATAGCCGTGCACCCGCAAGGACCACGACGTCGACAAGAAATGCGACGATCTCCCGACCAGGTTCCAGTGCAAGCCCAAGCGCCGCGCGAGCACTCCTCCCTACCAGTGCTGTTTCACTCTCAACTCGCAACCAACAGACACGCGACAAAAAACATCAGATGATGTTGGAGGCGAAAGCCACAGTACTTTTCGGGGATCTTTCGGCCTAAACTGGGGCTAAAGCCCGGGCCTCGCATATCCGAGCCGCAATTGTCCATGCGGTTCCCCCGACAGTCCATCTGGCAACACCCTAAACCCTAAGCCCTAAACCCTAAACCCTAAACCCTGCTTCCCCCAACGGACACCCCTGTAGTAAAATTGGTTCGACAGACCTGCAGTTGCCTTCAGCCTCACCTGGCCGCCTACTGGCTTTTTACCACGGTAGTAGATTCATCCTTTCACCCTGCCTCTATTTCCCGAAGGTGCCTCACAGTACTACCGTCCGAAATCCCCCACCTAACCCCCCACAACGCACCTAAGCCAGTTTTTCAGGTCAGGTCTCTCTCGCTCTTCTTATTCTTCTTCTTCTGATTATTATTCTTCTGCTTCTTCTTCTTCTTAGTCTTCTTCTTCTTAGTCTTCTTATTCTTCTTTGTCTTCTTAGACAAGTCTAAGCTTCGTACTAACAGGTGAAGCTAACGCTTCCACAGAACTGACGTTCGAACTTTTCTCGACCCGCCGAGTGGGTTGGTCGAAAGGTCGTGTCGAGCAGCACAGTGCGTCTTAGACGTCGTCACAGTGCGTCCAAAAGCGAACTGGCTGGTGCAAACGACTCACTGCCTCGGGCGGGTGAGGTGGGTATCTGCAAAACTGCTCTGGGCTTCTCGTCTCGAGAGGCGCAGCTGAGCTCACGAACAGGACAGCGTACTTAGCACTACGCAGAACTTGTCACTGCATGCACACGTGCATTTCCCGTCTTCTTCTTAGTCTTTGTCTTCTTCTTCTTCTTCTTCTTCTTATTCTTATTCTTCTTCTTCTTATTCTTCTTATTATTCTTCTTCTTCTTCTTCTTCTTCTTCTTCTTGTTCTTCGTCTTCGTCTTCTTCTTCTTCTTCTTCTTACTCGATCGGAAGTTTGCGTTTTCTTTCTGTATTTATTTTTTCCTTCTGTCCTTCTTTCCTTCTTTCTTTCTTTCTTTATTTCTTTATTTTCTCTCTTTCTTTCTTGGGGCTCCCTCTCTCTCTCTCATTCACTCACTCTCGCCTGAACTGGTGTCGTCTCTGGCAGGCTCGAGGCTGGCCTTGGGGACTCGCATGCTGACTTGGGAACGTGGCGAGCTGACATAGGGCTGCAATGGGCTGCAATGGGCTGCACGGATTTCACTGGGTTGAATGTCTTGACCCACATTGACGACACGCAGGATCACGCGTGCGCCGCGCAACAGTAGAGAGTTTCTGAGCACGCGGCCAACTCTGTAGAAAGGCCGAAATCACCGAGTTTGGCGTGACCGCCTTCGGCCTTGGAGAGGAAGATGTTCGGCCTGGAGCTGGCAGGCGAAACCGTCATGAATGATGTTGATGTTGACGTGGGATCCGAACTCTGGAGACATGAAGGTGCGAACAGAAATGTCCCAAGGCCCCGAAAGCACCAAAGCCCTCCGCTACAAACTCGCCACGATGGGTTGGGTCGCGATCTGTCACGATCCAAGTCCAAGCCCCAACGCGACGACAAAATCTGCAATTCCAAAGGGGCATGCGCACGGGACTTGAGCGGGAGTCGAACACACGATAATGAAGTTGCCCATGACAGCTGTCCGCAGAGGACACCCCGCTGGGGGCTCCGAGTTGTACACCAAAACAGTTTCGTACAGGGTCGTCGTTCGCGGAACAGCATTTGCCACAGAGAGCGATTCGGGCGTGGAGCTCCAAACTACCAAGGGCGCACTGGGTGGTCACGCTATGAATGTGCTTTACTGCCAAGACGTTCGCAAGAGATGAACATGTTCAACTCCCAGAGCTGCTAATCCATGGGCAGAATACCTTTGGGGTCTTCTGCACTGCAGGAAAATGACAAGCTGGATGTTCGTTCCCGACTTCTCTTCGCGATGGACCCTCGAGGTGGTTGACTGCCTCTGACTGCCCACCAGATGCCCTTTAAACCCTAAAACCTAAACCCTGAAACCCTAGGGTTTAGGGTTTTTTTGCCACCCGTCTAGCCACGGCAATGCGGGGTTTAGGGTTTAGGGTTTAGGGCTTAGGGCTTAGGGTTTAGGAACCGATGCTGGCCCGGGGTGTGCAGGCTCGAGCTGACGCACAGACCTTCTAAATCCCTGCTCCAACAGCCTACACCCCATCGAAGCAAAAACCGTCTCGACAACCCGCGATTCTGCAGCTATTTCTATCCACAAAGAGATGAGCCGAAGGTCTCTAATTGAGCCAAGCACAAGAGCACAACGTCAACAGCAATGTTGGCCGTGGGCGGCAGTCGAGTTGAATCGAACACTCAAACGATCGCCCCCAGCATGCCTCCCACAAAGCTTGAGTCATGTTGAATTGAACAGTTGCATCCATGCTTTTCCGGCGCTTGCTGCATCGACATCGTGAGACCAGTTCCCTTGAGAAGGCTTAGCCATGTAAAGAGATCTTGCCTGGTTTGGAGTCGCGCAAGAGCGCTCAAACACGAACGCTTCCCACCGGGGGTATTGGCACCGCGCTTTTCCCGTACATCTACTGCACTATCATGCTGCCGCAGGGTCTTAGAAAGGCTTGGCATGATTTAGATGTCGAGAGTGTAACAGGAAGCAAAACCCGCCCTGCATGGTCTTTCTGGCACCGTGACCCG